TCAGCTGGAACATATATAGAGTGATAGCACTGATCTGACACAGGGTTGGAGAAAACTCACCTGCCCCAACTGATCCAACTAATACTGCTGTAAAATTATTAGTCATCAAATTTCAAGTTTTGATGACAGTTTGAAGCCCAAATATCTGTTATCACTGAAAGTAATGTTTCCACTACCATGTACTGCAGTTTCAGAGTTCTCAGATCTGTAAAAGGTCATGTCACTTACTATTTTTAAGTAATTTTGTTTATACAGGATAAATCTGTATTGTGTACTATCACAACAGTACTGGTTTATGTTTATAGCCTGGCACAGGTAACTCACACATCTAGTTCTCTGGTTGTCTTTGAGTAACCCTCATAGAACTTGAGCAGACAAAGTCAGCCTTCAAAAGACTACTACTAAGGCATATATTTCCACTATATGGTCTATGTTTGCAGATGTAATACAAATTGCAATTGCTGAAAACAGAAGATTCCCATTTACACACATATCACAGATTATCTTTCCATCAGTTTACATCTCACAGAGGTAAAAATCTGTCCCATACCTTTTGAAAAGAGTCTTCATCTGTTATATCATATACTAGAATAGCGCCATTAGAATCCCTGTAGTAGATCGGCCCCAATGCATGAAATCTCTCTTGACCAGCTGTATCCTGCATTTAAAATACACTTTTTAGCATTTAAGAGAAAGCAAACAATACTTCAAAAAAAACTCTAAACAATAAATCAGAATTTTAAAGTAAGTGCTTAACATTTGAGTTCTAGGAAATCTAAGTAGTTCTTCAGGAAAATATTCTATTAAGTTCGTAGAGGTAAAATAGGAAAGTAAACATACCCATATTGCAAGGTTTACTCTTTTCCCACCAATATTTAGCTTCTTTGTAAGAAAAGATGCCTGGAAAGCAAAACAGATTAGAGTTACATTTTATTCACAAATGTCTCATTTGATTCAGATTAATTTACTAATAAAAACATCTGAATCAATAAAAGACAGATTTCTGGATCGAAACACTCTAAGCCAGAAGGCTGAGTCAATACTAAGTCAGTTAGTCATTTCACTACAGTTTTCCAGGAGTCTACTCTAAATAAACTTGGCTTAAGCCAATCATTTACTACCTCTTTTTGCTGTTGCTTTGAACTATTTGGGAAGGATAAGAGTTGTGTGGAAAGAGTCTGAATTCACAGCACTGATAAATCTAAGCTGAACTTGAGGCACTTCACAAGAGTACATAAGGTTCGGGTAGAAACTAGCCTAACAGGATTTTTAATTTGCAGGAATTAGGCAAAGTAGTTCACTATTTGTGAGCTAATAGAACAAAATGCAATAGTTTGAGTTTATTGCTAAATGTCTCAGAAGACTGGTATTCAGCAAGTTTCCTCATCTGTATATTTTCCCTATTTTTTCTGAAGTGAGCCCACAACTCTCCCCATCTGGTTCTGGGGGGCTTTTTCAGGGAAGTGCTGTGGTCTGGGTTTGTTTTTTTTTAATTTGTTTGGGTTTAGTCCACCCCTTCCACCCCAGACACTGCTCCTTAAAGCTCAGTTATATGCTTCTCAGCTAACACACAAAAGGAAAGCAAGTAGCAGATTAAGAAAAGCCTCAGAAGAAGCATACAAACTTCTCCAAGGATTGCAAAACATTATCTTCTGAAAACATTTTACAGGACCAGAGCATATTGCAAGGTTAGTCTAATTTCAGTAACTCAAGAGCATGTCTGTTCTTCTCCAAGCCTGTGCGATCCACATTTTTAAACACCACTTCTGTTACCAAGTGGCTAAAAAGGGGTACAATTTAATACAAGTTTAATAGGCTAGAACAAGGTCTGAAGGAGTTTATGCATTAGGAACCTGCTCCCCCTATTCTGAAGGCTAGCAGTAGCAGGTTAACGGGAGACAACGCAGTTAACAAGGGTTAACTTTTGTCTTTTGCCTTAAATTATACTAATTTTCCTTTCAGCTTCACCTAAATTTGCATTTGGACACAAACAAGTACTCAGCAGTATCTTATGATACATTCATCCCAGATTATTTTAGGCTGGACTGTAACCACTCAACATGAGTCCTCTGTATGAGCACTGAGCAGGCACTGAACTAAGTCATGCAGTAAGCAAAAAGTGTCACAGGTCAGATCAGCTGCTTGAACCAGCTTGCTGCTTAACCACACAGTCAACCAGTACATATGCAGAATACCAAGGCAGTTCAATTTGCACCACCCTAAACTGCTGTGAAAGTGCCTCTCTGGAGCTCTGCCTGTATCACAACTAAAAATCATCAAACACTCAGCTGCTAGAGCAGCTCCAGCTCTTCAGCTAATTTCCTAACATCAACTCTGGCACCTGTATGAACTGAGGTGAGATGATTCAGGAAACTTTTCATTTTTTGAAGCAAACAGTACCTTCCTCCAAAGTCTGGTGAACAGAGAGAAGACAGACCAGAGGAAACAAAACCACTCAAACTGTCCAAGAGCAGATAGCAAAGAACTAATCATCATGACCATCGAATTCAAGATAACTAAAGCATTAATGCTACCCCTTGAGTCTACAGCAAGGTGGCATGTCAACTTGAGAGAAAGTTGCAGACAGCACATTTGAAAGTATTTAACGCTCTAGTCAACCTGTAACAAACAACTTAAAAGCAGTGAGTCTTAAGCATCAGGAAAACTTTAGTTCTTTAATTAAAAAACTCTGCAGGAAGTATTTTACGGCTTTCAGCTAGCTGCCCTAAGGATTATCTGATCCGAATCTAGCCTTCATATCAATTTGTTATACTACACCAGATTTTAAAAGCCAAAAGCTTAGAGGTGACTTCAGAAGTTTCAATTAACCAACATCTGGGCCATAGAAAAAGAAGGTATGGTTAGACACAATGAATCAAGCTAACTTGACAGCACTGTCTTGGTCTGCTGTACTACAGACCTTGATATTCTATTGCAAATCTCAAAGGAAAAGCACTTCTGAGCACTGTTTTTGTCAATCAAATTGACAATCAAATCTGCTCAGTTGATATGAACTTCATATGTCAATTTGAGAATCACATTTCTGGACCAAAAGGTAGAAACATCCTTCAGAGAAATAGGATTTATATTTTAAAAACCCACAAAACTCACTATCCATAAAGTTGTATCATTGTGGCTTTAGACATTGGCCCAATTAATAGCACAGATATCTTCACTATTTGACAAAGCAAATATTACAGTAGGCTTGTCCCCATAGATATGTTTTGCTTAAGTATCACCAGTCCCTCAGGTCACTAAAGCTTTTGATAGCAATACTGGTTTTTAGCACCAAGAGTAGAGTATTTCCTTTTCTGTGTACCAAAGTATTACAAGACCTATACACTTAAGTAAAGCTTTTTATTGTCTCCTAAAAATAAAATTTAAAAAACCCACACAAAAAACCCCCAAAACACAGGAGACTGTAACAATTGTACTTGCTCTCTGCATTAAAACTTGATGAATTTGTGCTAAGTCTTAGTCTACCTAAAGGCTTGGGCCCATAGCCAAATAACAAGGCTATCCTATATCAGATATCTTGATTACAAGCAAGTTTGTCTTAAAAGCTTGCCCAATAACAAGATTGGAACCTGGTATTTGAAGTAGTCATGGTTAGCAATGAGCAGAAGGATTTGTGAACATGCCACAGGAAACAGTCAATACTATATTATAGATTAAATGCTTCATCCCTCTTCATTGTGTTCATTAGTTGAAGAATACTCTTAGAAGTTTTTGAATTAATAGGTATGGCTAAGTTTGGCATATTTACCATCAGTAAAGCACATTTTATAACCACACACCAAAGGCAAACTAGCTAATATCTACCTTTTAACACTTCCCATCCCACTTCAAGTTCCATTTGTCTCATGAAAGAGCAAGGCTACTACTCTTCACTCAATCCAAGGTTAGAGAAAAAAAATAATCAGGTGAACAGTAGAAATAGAGTTTTTAAAAATTTGGGGGAACCCAAGATGGAAGGAAGAGCTTTAACTACTGTTTAGAGATAGCTTAGGAGCCTACTTTAGGAAAAAAGTCAGCTGCCAAGAGTGTCAAAGCCTTTGAAATCAGTACAGTTCAGGCAGCATTGGTTAATTATACATAAAAGAGGATTCAACTTTTATCTTCCAAGAATTTACCAAATTGAGTACTACAGATTTAAGTCCGAGTTGTGACTTGGCTTAAAATCAGTAACTTCTTTAAAAAAATATTATTTTCATTACTTTGGCAACTCATTTTTGCTAGAACTTTCAAAAACCCACATATAGGACCACAGTAAATTCAAAGATAAGTAATCTCAAAGCCAGGTCTTTGAAGTAAGCTTCTCATTTTGGTGTTTTGACTCTAGTCTCTTATGACTGGTCTGAAGAATACTTATATACTTAGAAGAAAAGGATAATGCAATTGTAAGAACTAAAATTCCATTCTCTTTATGTGCCAGTAGAAAGTCTTACTTCTTTTAATCCTTTCTTTTAAGAGCTCAGTTTCACACATCCATCAGGCCCTATTAAAAGCTGATAAAGGGGCCTGAGTAGAATAGGAGGAAGACTCAGCTGGAAAATATTCTCCTGAAAGCCACTGAATGAAAGCAGGTGTATGTCACCTGTCCCTCAACTGCTTCAACAGAGGCAAGTCAGGCACATGAACACTGCACATAGCACTGAACCTCCCTGCATTGTCTTCCTCCCTTCCCCGACCTCAGCTATCTTAGCCAAGACACCTTTTCTAGGTTGTACAAGTCCAAAGCAATCAGGATCTGAACAGTATGATTAGCGCCACATCAGCAGCTCTCTTGGGTTGGATATTTTGCAGTCCTCCACACATTTGAGAGATTAGTACACAAAAATTGTATTTATCCTGAATAATTAACTAACAGAAATTTAAACTACCCAAATTACAAAAAAGTAGTTTGATAGTAGTTTTATTATTGGCGTAATTCCAATACAGTTCATTTGATATCAATTTATAGCTCAGAATCATTTTATCAAGACAACAGCAGTGACCTCAATATTTCAATCAATAGGAACCAATTCTGTCTCACCAGGTTATGGATTGTATTCATTGCTTGCAAAACCTCTACCTTTCCTGCATCAGCTTTTCCACATTATTCTAGATAAATGTTTTCTTGTGGTAATCAGTAGATACTGATGACCTGCAAATTAAAATTAAGGTATATCTTAAGTACCTGACTTGAAGCTAACATAACTACAGCAACACATCTCAGCAGTCTCCTAACCTCAATGTAAGGAAGTTCCAGTTCCCCATTTCCCTCTAGCTACCATTTAGGGAAGGGGCGCAGGGGTAGGGGTGGAAGAGAAGAGAAGCAGCTCCCTTTCACTAAAAACCTTCTGTTACTAGTACAAAAGAAACTCATCTATGTGGGTGTACACAGGTTAACTTCGCAATAGAATAATGTTAGAATTCAGATAGGAAAATATAGATATACATTAGATAAAAGATGCACACTGAACAATTTAAAGACTTCCTGTGCTCTCCCCCAGCACCAGGTTCACACTGCAGGAAGCATCAGCCAACACTAAATAAAGTTTCCAGAATACTACAGTTGCACCTCCTTTTTCTTGCAATCATATTGGAACAAAGCACTATGCAGTACTTTTTCTTTCTACACCAGAAATCACAGTGAATGGAGAGCCTCTGGTCTCAGTATCTAGTGATATTTTCACATGATTGATCACTGTGGCTTCTTTGCTGAATCAGGAGCTAAATATTCACCTAATTTTGGCTATATTGGAACAAAAGTAATTTGATGCAATACTTTGAACTGATGCCATGAAACAAAACCACTTTATCAGATTATGGCTTTAACCTTAAAAAAAAGATGTTTAACAAAAATGTCACACTTCATTGCTTAATCAGATATCCTAGTTCCTTCTTATTTTTTAAGTAATGTCTTAATTTGCTAGTGGAAGAACTTACTGAAATTGTCTTCTAGAACAGTAAGATGTAGGAAAAAAGGAATAATGAAGATAATACTTCACAAGTACACATGTTGTACAGTAGGCTTCAACAGCAACTAACATTGTATTTCACAATCAGTAAGATGTGCATGTGGCTAAGGAGGCTCAGAACAGAGAAACAAATTAATTGAGAAACACAGTGCAGTCAGTTAAAAGATACAGGCAGCAACCAGAAACCTAATCACAGTGGAGAAACAAAATTCCGATACCAAGGGTAAGCACGTCCTTCAGCTCCTCTACAAACACACACTCCTCTCCAGAGATTCCAAAACAAAAGCTATCAAGCCTAGAGACACGTTACTGTCTACATTTTGGAGCCATTTAAAGGTCCATTTTATTACATCTGTGACCCAAGTCTGTATTCCAACTCACTTTGGTTTTAATTTTTGGTTTTGCACTACAGATTTAAAGAATGTGATTAACAACAAACCAACCAAAAATCCATACACACCACAATACCAAGCTGCATCACACAAACTGTTTAGGTCTACTCTTTCTACATGGAATGTCAGAATTTATACACAATCATTTTGATGCACTTTAAATGATCGTTTGCTACATTTCAATTGAAAGTTACAACTGCAGCTATGACACCTACAAACAACTAGCCATTTCTGCAACAGAGCAAACATCAATTACCTCTATGGCAATCAGAGCTACAGTCAGCTTAACATAAATACCACATCATGCCTAGCAAACCTACCAATAGATTCATCCAACAGTAGAAGATGGACATAGGGTATGAAGTTTAAAACATGTTCTTTTTGGCTCTTTATAGGCAAAATGGAGCAACAGTTTCTGTTTATGGAACATTCACTGTGTTGTTTCTAGGGCATCTCTAATGTTTCTTTGGTTTTAAGGGAAAGTATCACTATTAAATACTTCCAAGATACTCAGTCCACAAGAATTTACCTGAGCATGTAGGAATAGTGCACCACTATCCCAATGCTCTTTTTTGGCATCACCTACTATTTATTCTGTCCTCCACAGAACTTCAGAAGTAGTCCAAAACCCATTAGTAGCCCACATGGTGGCAAGGTTTGTTTCTTTATTTACAAAAAAAAAAATAAAACCCTGTATACTTTATAATGCTAAACTCACACTTTAATATACAAGATCACAACTGTTAATGAAGATGCTGTGCAACTGGTGTAAGTGCAAATAAAAAGAGTAAGCAAGCAGAGAAATCAAAAAAAGTCAATATACAACTCACGACATTAAGTTTAAAACATGTTTTCTGAGACCATGTACAATATAAGCAGTTTATTCTGTACCATGGCATACATGCCATTCAGCACAAGCAGATAATAAAAAACCATTACTTTCAAGCAAACACCCTGTCACATTTCAAAAGTGGAATATCACTTTCTAGATCTTTATAAATTAGCAGACTGTACTACTGAAAATCAGGCCAAAATTCAGGGAGATAACATAATAAGCAAGTAAGCCTTAAGAATCTTTTCTGTTATTAAATCATAAACCTTAATCTCAAACTTTGTGGAAGCTGTTCTCTTCAAGCAGTACTATTTGGGTAGTTTGAGCCTTAAGATTTGAGAACACGAGAGAGACTATCATTAACAGAAGTGCACCATATACAAAACACTTAGTCATCAGTCCACAACCAACGATTACAGTAACATTACTTTGAAACCATGCTTCTGTATCCCAAGATCCGAAAGTAGACATTCACGCACATAACTGGGAAAAACGGACAGTTAGTATTCAAAATAGAAACAAGGCCTCAAAGTACTGAAAGCTTAAGTTTCAGGCGTAAATAAGACCAAAAAATCAGATTCCAACAAACTCGGTAGGAGACAGCCACCATTTAAAGGGCGGCAGCGATCGCTCCGTCCACCGTTAAGCGGTAAACAAGACTGCAAGCACTGACACCCGAAGCAACGCTCCAGGAACCCCAGGGCGGAAAAGGCAATGCCGGCCAGCACCACAGGGCGACCAGGAGTGGGCTGGCACCAGACAGCACTCCTAGAAGGTGCGTAAGAGAAAGGGAAAAGAGGAGCGAAACCGCGCCCCACACCCCTCCGCCCCCTGGGCTGTAGCTCCAGGCAGGGGCATCCCGCCCGCCCCCGGCCCAACGCGGCCCGCACCTGCAGGGTGGTGATGTGCTTGTCGTTGAACTTGTTCTCGCAGTAACGCAGCACCAGGGAGGTTTTCCCCACGCAGCCCTCCCCGAGCAGCACCAC